ATTGTTTATGGCTAATAAACTGATCTGATCTGGTCTGGTCTGAGTAGTGCTCAGAGCAGTGTCAGTACCTCTCCATATGCCTCAATGGCTGGCTTCCAGAGGTGCTTCAGGCCCAGTCCTTCACAGTCATAGATCATGGTGATGGACTCCACATTCTTACCCATCTGAAACACACATAGGCAAATGGTTCTGCTGTTTGGTGGGACCGTGGGGGTTGGCAGCCTTTAAGAAGGGGTGATATTAATAGAAAGGGGCACAGGGCATCGTAACTCTCTCAGTAAATGGCTCAGCTGTTATCAGTTTCCCAGCTCAGTTAAATTAAATACGTTCAATATATGACAAAGAATTTCTATATTAAAGATTGGGAGTAAACATTTAAATCCTATGCAACATGCCCTTGGGCACAAATAATAAGACTGCTATGCTCTCACACAATGTCTCACACACTGCTGCATTCTCATTGGTAATTTACAGTAAATAAATAATTGAATACATGTTATTACAATCTTAACAATTCAAGACAAGGAAGATACCTCACATCTGCCCTGTCAGAAGACTGCAACATCCTATGGAAATTACTGTTTACATCTGGTTCTGTGGTTTGCACTTTGGAAGACTACACTTAGAAAACTGCCAAACGGACTGAATACACCCAGTTATACAATGCCATGTCATCAGCTGGCTGGCTGTGATACAGAAATGTACTATACTCGTCTTTAAAACTGCAGATTTTTCATTGCATCCACTTGCAAATTAAGGAAGACCCAGAATTATTGCTATTTTGCAGTGTGTTTTTTCCTTTTTTTTTTTCTCATGGATAAAGTCTGCCAACAATGTTCATTTCTGGGGTCCTCTGTCAACCCAACTGCAGAGCATATGGGTAAGAAATGAATGAAAACGACATCTCTGCTTGGACAACACATCTCAGTGTATTAATTACAGTACATGTGCACATTCAGGAGTAGAGCACCAGTACCTTCTCCGTCTGCAGCTGGCACTCCTTCTGCAGTAACTCGCAGTCCCGCACCTTGGATTTGAGAAAGTCCTGTTTAGAGGCGGAAAGCAGGAGACCCTTGGGGTCCACAGGGCCAATCACATCGTACCAGATGGGGCTGCCCTCACTGTCATAGCCGCACATCCCTCCTGAGAGATATCGCTCGATGACCTGGACAGCAGAAACACAAGGCAGGTAGTGACCTTGCACAGCCTGACTGAAAGGACACAGACTACAGGCGACCAGCCAGGGGCTGCTCAAAATCAAATGTGCTACAATCAGTTTATGATGTTCCTCATCAAAGGTACAGAGTAATATGAGACGACATTAGCAAAACAACTTAGAAAATTAATTAAATTACTACAAATATGGAGAATTCCCATGTGAACTTCAAAGGAGCTGACAAGAAGTTGATTCATAATACTAGAAAAGAATGAAAGTTAATTAGTTCTGATAATTTCACAATACAGTGTATCAAACTCATCTCAATAGACTCCCAATTCTGCTCGTATATGTAAAGTCAAAGCTAGCACCCATGGACAGCTGCCCATCAGTGTGGTATAGCTACATTTTCACACTTTAAAGTGAAAATAGGCCTCTACTATACATATGTACAAAAACATCTTTATGTGATTATTATGTGGTCTTTGAAAAGTGAACACCATAATCCTCAAAAAGCTCTTTGTTAGCATTTTCACCCATAGGGCTTCTGTGATGTAAATAAACCATAATCTGGTTTTATAGTGGCTTTCGGTCAAAGGGGCTCACTTTTCCTTTTCACTGCAGCTTAGTGGCTGTCCTAAAGTAGTAAATATCTTCTTACACAGTGAAAAACAAGTACCACCAACACGGGCAGCTCTGGCCTTCCTGTCTCAAGTGGCCATAAATTCAGGCTCCTGCAGAACCATCAGCGTTAGTTACAGTTTTTACCTCTGGAGGTTGCCAATCTGTAGTTATAGTGTCTGCTTTCATGTGTTTCCGGAATTCTACATGCTGAAAAAAAAAAGAGAAGCAGTCAAACCGAGTGAACTTTAACCACTACAGGATGTTCATTCCGTCCACTGCATTTAGTGTCAATGGAAAATCTATACAGTGGCTTTTTTTAAAGGGATTTTGAAGATCAAGG